TTTCCCTCAAATGCACTCCCATCAAGGACCCTGTGTCAGCAAGGCCATGCCCATGCCTGTCCTACAACTTCCAACTGGGGCAGTTTTAGCTCAGCTGGTGACACCGCAGCAGAATATTCTCAAAACTGAAAGATGTCTCTACTTGAAGATGCACATCTCCTCCCAGCTTGGAATTAGCTTTTTTCGCTTTTTTCAATTTTTTTCTGGTTTTTTTTTTTTTTTTTTGGCACAGAACACAGTCGAGAAATGATGGATTATCATTTCTCATTTGGACTCAAAGTCCATGCAACGGCCAGAGGAAATAAGCAGTTTCTCCCAAGTGGCAGAAAGTGCATCGTTAAGGTGAAAGAAATACCAGGAGATAAAATTAAATTGATTTTTCCCAGATCCCATGGCTGGAGAGCTGAGCTGAGGCTTCGTGAGATGGTCACTCCCGACACCGACTGGGGGTGGATACAAGGAAAATCCTGAGAAATGGAGGCTTGCTGGAGTGAAGTTCAGCTTAAACTTCACTCCAGTTTTAGAGTGAAGTGATTTTAGAGGCTGGGTTTGCTCCTGGTTTGTGCTCACATAAGGAAAGACATCCTGGTGAAATCCCCCAAAAAGAAGGACTTTGAAGGGATGGAGCGTGGCCAGAGGAGGGAATGGAGCTGGGGAAGGGAATGGAGCACCAGGAGGGGCTGAGGGAGGTGGGAAGGGGCTCAGCCTGAAGAAAAGGGGGATCAGGGGGGACCTTGTGGCTCTGCACAGCTCCTGACAGGAGGGGACAGCCGGAGGGATTTGGGATCTCATCCCAGGGAACAGGGACAGGAGGAGAGGGAGCGGCCTCAGGCTGGGCCGGGGAGACTCAGGGTGGATATTTGGGAAAATTATTCATGTAAAGGGTTCTCCAGCCCTGGCACAGCTGCTCAGGGCAGTGGTGGAGTCCCCATCAGGGGATTTAAGGTCCCTTCCAACCCAAGCATCGATGATTCTGAGTGTGACACATGACACCCGATCTCACTGCAGAATAGGCACCAAGAGAAGCAGAGCTCCTTTCCCTTGGATTCTCCAGGACACCAGAACCATCCCATATTTTCCTGTGCCTCTTGATCAATTCTAACAGCAGCTCTCCAGCTTTTTCTTCTTTGGGGAGTTTCTGAACAAGTTCTTGGCTTCCCAGCCAAAGCTTTGCAGTTCAGTTTCTCCCGGAGCACCAGAAAAAAAAAAAAAAAGAAAGAGCAGTCATTTGCTGGAATCATGAGCAGCTAATTTGCTGAGTTTAGTGGCAGGAAGCCTGAAGATAATCAATCCAGTTCTTCTCTACATATATGAATGTAAGGCAGAGTGCTGAGGAGGGCAAATTGCACTGCTCAAAACAAGATGAACAATCTTATCAGGTGAAACTGTGGATAAATCTTCACTGGCAGAACACTTTCCTCAGAGTATCTCCAGGTTCTTGGGAGACTTTTGAGCATCTCATGTAGTCAGAACCCAGCACAATTGGATAATTACTCTGATTTAGGATATGTTTATATTTTTATTTAGAAGAGAATTACACTTGCAGCACAGATTTCCAGATTGCTGCAGTTATTCCTCCTCTGAGTTCAAGCAGTTGGACATAACTAAGTTTATATGGAAGCATTAAACTGTTAAAAGATTCCTAATTCTTTACTGCCTCTTTGGTTTTCTCTGTGTAAAAATTATTTTTAACACTCTCTAGTACTTGCTTGCATTAAATTATAGCATAATATAATAAATATATAATTACAACATAGATAAATATAGGTATAGCTACAGATAAAATAAATATATAAATAACAACACAGATTTTGGCCTTCTGTGCAGCTAAAAACTCTCTTCTCTGTTTCATCCAGACAGATTGCTCAGATCCATCAGGCAGAGGAGGAAGTTTTCTCTACCCATCACGTAGCTCAGACACTGAGACAGCCAAAATAAATGTGAGCTGAGCTGGGCAATATAAAACTGCCTAAATTCCTTCTGGGGCTTTACAACTCCATAATTCTTCTGAGATTCACTGAGCAATCATTTCTCTCTTTCTTTCTTTCTCCTCTGAGGTGGGTTTAACTGACAGGACCAAAACTCATTGCCAGGAATTAAAAAGGAGAAAACTCTAGTGGGTGTTTTCAGCTGGGCTGTAGTTGGAGAACTTCACCAGCTCTGCTGTAAAATCCCCTCATTGGCTTCTGGGCAAGGAAATATGGGCAGAAAGACAAACAAATCCAGGAATCACTTCCCTGTCGCTGTCAAGGCAGGACGGGAATGAAGAGACTCTGATCAGAAGGCTGCTGAGAGTAAAACTCTGTTTTATGAGGACCAACTCCACTGGTCCTGAAGTGAAAACAAGCCACACCATTGGTGCAAAGTGCTTGATGCACAGTGATAGAACTTAACTATAAACAATGTGAAAAACAAGAGAGATAAAGAATTATTTAAATTATTCTCCAGCTCTTTCCCAGTCTTCTGCCTGGCTAAAAACTCTCGTTTCTCTCTTTGACTGACTCTGAGTCCCACACTTCCCCACAGATGACATTTAGGGCTGTGCTGGCTCTGTCAAGTGAAACCCTGAGCAGGGAATTGACTCAGAGCTTGCTTCATAGAGTTGGGACTCTCCAAGGTCTGCAAAAAGAAGGTTTGGGGCAGTTTGTACTCCTTTGCTGGGTGATGAGGTTTCTTCACAATTGTCCAGAAACTTGTTGGGAACCCAGAAATATCCCATCTTGTGTTCTTTTGGAGTTCAGGCTTTATGCTCTGCTGTGAGCAGCAATCCATGAGAAAGCAAACAGACAAAGCAAAAACAATATCCTTTGTAAATCCCCCTGGCCAAGTTTCAGGCACCTACAAAGCAAAGGCTTTATTTTCCCACACCAGGGATTTGTGTTCCTTGTAGGCGCACAAAGCCAGGAGCACCAAAGGGAAGGTGAGATCCTGAATTCAGGTGCTTAAATTTGGACAATTTTGCCATGTCAAGATGTGTTACTTTTTTCACTGACAGGGTCAAGTGCGCTTTTAGAAATGAAATCTGAAATAAGCTCCGGTTGCAAAGTTTCAAATGAGCTCTCTTAAACTGAAAAACAAATGAACAGACTGCTCAGCCTCATCTTTTTTGAGGGCATATGTGAGATCACAGCATTAGAGCAGACTCCAGAGAAAATATTGTGGCCTACTGAACTCTGTACAGAAAAATAGAAAGGAAAAGCAATATTATTCCAACTTATTGCACAAATACACCTGTGTGCACCCAAACTGAAGACTGAAAACCGGTGTACCAACGTTATCCTCTCTAATTAGGGAATTGTGAATAATGCTGGCAATAAAAAAACGCCGTAAAAGGGCAAGAAAATTGCATCCCCCATAATAAAAGATGTCTCCTTTGGGGTCACATTTAGCTTTTGTGGGCTGACAAAGGGATCAGTCTCCATGACATATTGTTAAGTGACTGTTCCTGTGATCCTGGAATGTCTTCTCCACTCACAAACATATTTCTGGCTTGTTAAGGAGGCAGCCTGACAGTACAAAGGGCTGGATGTATGTCTGTGCATTGTAAGCAGAACTTGGAGATGCTCTGAGTCAGGATTTTATAATCAGATGCCAGGGCTAAGTAGCTGGTTATGTTCTACATCTTCCCCCAAAATAATAAAAAGAAAAGTCTAAAGCAGCTCTGGATGCAGGGAGGCTCTCCAAAGCTCTTTTTTGAAGGATTTTAAAATGCAAGATTGGAAATATCTGCTGGGTTTTTTTGTCTTGTGTTCCTCAAAATCTGATCAAACGTTGAAGATGATCAAATTTACATGGGGGAAGAAAGCACAAACTTCCGCCATTATCTCCTTTTCTGCTTCCTTATAAACCCAAACTGGATGGCATCCAATTTCTGCTCGCAACTGCCTCTGGAAATGAAAGAGAGCCTGAATAGAGGAGGAGATGAGCTGCTTTAAATGCTTTTTCATAGTTCTCACTGCTATGAAAGCTTCATTAAAAGCTGCAGCTTGCTTGTTTTCAAACTCTTCCGAAGTAATAAGCATATAATTGTGCTGGAAGCTCGGGAGGAGCGTGTCCCTGCCAGCCACTGCAGCAGCCTTTCCTTTCAAGGTCCTTTTGCATTTTCTTGGGGATCAGCCATTCCCATCTGAAGGAAATTTAGAAGAAATATTGGGGTTTTTTTTAAAGAGGACATTGACGATTTACAATGTTGATATGTTGACAGAAATTACTTCCTCATGGGCTGTTGACTCTGAGGGTGTGTTATGAGGCATAACAATTCTTTTGCCTTTTTTTGGTTTTGTTTTTTTTTTGGGGGGTTTTTTTTTTCTTCTTAACCCACATTCAAACTGTGTCAGGCACAGGCTCACTGCTGAGCCCTCTTATATTTATTTTGATTCCTTCAGATGGAGAAATTTGAGGAATGAGGAAGAACATTTGTGCTACCAGCATTTTTTACAATTTCTCCTAAAAAAATTCAGCTGCAGTGCTGAGATCCACGCATGTTCTGAATGATTCCATGCGATTTCTTCTGCTATCTCCTATGAAGCAAAAGCAACCTTGCTGCAGATGTTAATAAATGCTCTTTTGAAACAGCTGGAAGGGATTTTGGGAGCGTGGACAGATGAATTTCATAACACCGAGTGTGAGAACAGTATTCAAAGCCCTTAAATCACCCTCCTCAATGAAATCCTTCAGTGGCAAAAATCCACTTCGTGGATTCAACAAATTCAATCCAATATTTACTCATGAAATTCCGCATTCAAAGTCCTGGGTCAGGATTCAAGAAAACAGAGAATTCCACATTGATTGAGACAGGATCAGAATCTTTTCTTATTTGTCCAAAAATCACAGCCTCAAACATCCCAGGATGAAACCCAGTGTATAACAAATACAGTATTGACAAGATTTTAGATAATTCCCACCAAAAATATAGGGAAAATTCTCAGGGTGAACTTAAATTACTGAAAAAAAAGCCTAATGGGAACACTGACAAAGATATTTAGAAAGTCAGCTGTGGATTCTGTTAAAAGGAATTGACATTTATTTAAAATATACATTCCTGGGGAATACATTTCCAAGCTATGCTTCATTGCCTTCTTCCAGTCTGCACAAATTTATTACCCAAAATAAAGACCACAGTGCCCAAAGAGTCACTTTGACTCCTTCCATCTTGTTTCCAGTTTATTTCTAGGATTCCAGTGAAAATTCCCCCCTAGTTTACAATGAAACACAATGGATTCATAAATCATAAAACACAAAACTATGAATTTTAATTTTTTTCTCACAGAATCTTGAGCGCAGCATTTCCCAGATTTCCCCAAGTTAATTCCACACCAGCATCCAGAAATAAGAAAGTGTGTTTACATTTGTTAATTTGCTTTTCACTAATTGAGAAAAATAACTCACAATAATAGATGTAAAACTGATAGTGAGGCTGAAGATAACTCCAGTTCCCACTGAAACAGTGAAAATTTCCTGGCACATCAAATAAATAGGAATAAAACCAGTGGAAAGTCATTACTTTACTTTATTTTACTCCTTCTTTTTAATCAGTAAAGATATTGCCACATAAACCCCATTTTGGAATTTTATTCTCTGAGAGGCTCTTTTGATAGAAATAATACTCCCAGCAAGTCAAACAACTCTTACCCCACAGGCTTTGCCATAATTCAGAGGAAAACATCCCTACAAGCCAAATCTCATTGCAGAGTTGAGGATGGAGGGCGAGCCTAGAAGAAAATATTGAGTTAATTCTCCTCCCCCACCATTTTCTCCTCATAAATTCTTCATTTCCAAGCCATAAATTCCCCATGAGGTGCACCAGTTGAGGTTCTAGGAGCAAATCCTAAATTTAGGAGCTACTCAATCCATACTGCCCAGCCATGGAAGCCAACCCAGCTGGGTGGGGAGCTTGGAAATGGACTCCTGAGCACAGATGTGACTCTTTTCCTTTTTAATTTCAAAATCCAGCGAGGAAATGAAGGAAATGTTTGCCTCATTGTCTATGCGCCATGATCTGTGAGTTTTCATCAAAACCCTCCAATATTTTCAGGTGGAGTCATCTGCAGAAGCAATTAACACAGCCCGGGTTTGTAAATGCTTCCTGCCCGTGTTTGTTTGTCCTGGGAGCTGTACAAATATTATTTATATGGTTCCTGGTAAAGCTGGGAATGCTCATCCCAGAATCCTGGAGCTGCTCGTGAGCTTGGGGATGATATTTGGAGCAGGATATTTTGCTGTCAAGCATCACTGAGGTGGGAGATGGGTAAATCTCTCACTTGACACTAAAAGGGGGAAGAGAGGAGAAGGATGCTCCAACTTTGAGTGGCTGAGATGTTTTTCTTCTTCTTCTTCCTAGGAAAAATTCCACAGAGGAAAAAGCCTTGAAGTGCAGCCCATTCAGGGCTGACCTGTGCAGAGGGAGAGGGCTGGCTGTTAGAAATAAAATAAAAAGGAAAACAACAACAGTGGAATTTTAGGGCTTTAGGATTTAGGTGGAATTTTAAGGCTTATGAGTGTCCTCAGGCATGTGAAGGTCTTAACCCTTTAATGCTCTCATAACCCTTCCTACAGTTACATTGACAAATTCAATATAAAATACCCTGAAAAAAGAAATCCAAGTGCTTCAAATCCTCCTAAGCAACAAAAATCAATTTAAAATATGTGATCCATTACCACAAGCTTACCAACTTCCTTTTTTTTTTTTTTTTAATTTTCCATTATGGGCAGCAATTTCCCAGTTGCTTTTTCTGCGTCTTGCAGCAGAGAAGGATGGGGGACTGCAGAACCAGCACTTAGGATTTATGCTGAAATATTTATTAGCACAAGAAGCAAGGCACCACAATGTTCTGGCTCTGTGTCACACTCGATTCACCCATGCAGGTACAACCTGTGGGCAGCTGTTACACCCAGGGAACAAATCAGTCAAAGAATTGAGGAGCACTAATGCAAAGCAGCCCCTGCCAGTGGCGTGCACAGCTCCTAAAGAGGCTGACTGGCACATTTTTTGCCTTGTTCTCTGCATTTTTTTGCTCTGTTTCGTGGGCTGAGCAATTTGCAGGGCAGGAATTCGATGTGGCTACATGTCACTACAGGTTTTGGAGGTGCTCATTTTATTTATGTGTATTTTTGGGTAATGCTGGTGTTTCCGAGGAGCTTTTTCATTTCATTTGTTCCCTTACAAATTCATATGAATTAAGCAATTATATAAGTTACTATTTTGACCAGAGGGAGAAAGGAACCTGGTAGGACAGAACAGTACAGAAAACCAGGGCTTAGAAGTGGCCTCAGGCATATAAAGGTCTTAACCCCTTTAAATGGTCTCATAACTCTTCCTGCAGTGACAGTGGCATCCACAGTTGCAATATCAAATACACTGGAAAAAGAAATTCAAGTGCTTCAAATCCTCCTTGCTCCCTCTTGTCAGTCATGGCTCATTTTCAGGATTATTGAGAGAAAAAAATAAATTATTCTGTCCTGTGCTTTTTTTCCTCACAAAGCTGCTGCATTGTGGGGCTTGTAGGAGAGCTCACTCGACAGCGCAGCAGGCAGAGGCAAAATCTGACTTTATTAAGATGAAATCATTGTCTGTAGGCAAAGCAAAGCCATGTGATATCTCCATCAGCGAGGCTTTCATATGCAGCTACTCAAAACCCTGGAATAAATGGAGCTGATTGAGGTGAGCCAGAGGCAATTCAGCCACCAGAGCCAAGCAAGGGGAGGATCAGAGAATGGAGCTCCCTCGTTAGCAGGGAGCTTCTCCAGCTGCCAGGGGGAAATGAGGAGATCCAGAACTGGAAAGTGCTTTCTGGTGTCCACAGGTCCAGCTCCCAGCTGGAATGTCCCAGCCTCGGGAGCTGAAAGCAGCTGAGGGGTAGTCAGAGAGCCCCAGGAGCTCTCAGTGAGGGACAGTGTCCCCAGGAGGTGACTGGCAGCTCAGCAGAGCAGATGAGACACTACAAAAATAAAAATGGAGACAAAGAGGGATGCAGGGACAGCAGCTCATCATTATTCTCCTGTGAAATGTCTCTGCTCCAGCTCCAATTAGCCAGGAGAGGAGCAGATTGCCATTTCATTTCAGACCTCCAGCCTGGGGGACAGAGCTGGGCCAATGTTTAAGCAAGGCAAAGAATATGAGAAAGGGAAAGAGCATCTCTGTGGCACACCTGCAGGTCGTGCAGATTAATCTCTCTGTGCCTCCCAGCTCTTCCATTCAAATATCATGGAATTAATGAATATCCTGAGTTGGAAAGGCTCCACAAGGATCATCCAGTGCAGCTCCTGGCCCTGCACAGACACCCCAGCAATCCCACCCTGGGAATGTTCTCCAAACCCTCCTGGAGCTCTGGCAGCCTCGGGGTTGTGCCCATTCCCTGGGGAGCCTTGGCAATGCCAGCACCCTCTGGGGAAGAACCTTTTCCTGGAGAAAGAAGAAAGTCCCTCCCTGTGGGAATGTTGGTGGATGGAAATGCTTTGGCAGTGAAATAACTTTTAGAGGCTCCAGCTCTGAGAGAGGTAAAGCCACTGGTGACCCTCACACAGCATGTGCTGAACTCGTTATAAGCTGTCCGTGGGCTTCAGAACTCCAGCTTTGGGCCCCCAAAAATCTCCAAAACCGATCCTGAAAACTGAGCTCCAAATTACCCCTAATACACAGTTCTTGGGGAAGATCTTTGGACGAATGCAACCAGCAAAGCAGCATTTTGTAATATCTGCTGCAGATCATAATGAATTCACTGTCAGGCCTCCTCTCCACTAATCCTTCCTGTCCCAGACCAGCATAATCCAGTCTAACAGCTCTTTTTCTGGACACATGAAGCCCTTTTTAGCTGTGGTTATCTTCACATTACCAGATAATATTGGCTGAGCCCCTCTTTTCTTCCCATATCCAAGATTTTGTCACTCAATGTAGAGAGCTGGAGTCCAATGTGTAATTCCCAGTGTCCCTTGTGTGCCCTTTCTGGGACAGTTTCCAAGCTGCAGCAATTCCAGGATTTACCATGTCCAGTGAGAAAAGGAATCCAGGCTCAGAAATGGGGCATTTCCAGGATCTCTCTGCTGAGGTGGTGACTGTGTGTGCCAAAGAGCCACATCCCCCATCATGGCAAAAATAATTGCAACAATGAGTGGAATAAATCAAGTATTTAATTATTTCTTTGATGGAAAAGGTCTTTAGAAGCTGGTGGTGACAATCCATTCCAATCCAGGGATGGGCATTTGTGGAAAGCACCAGGAAAACCAGCAAAACCACGGTTAAAGAAATGCCATTTTTAATTGCTATGGAAGATGGAGGCCAAATGATATAAATATAAGATGACAGGACAATAAACAACAGAATGAGAACCATGAAGTCATGAGGCAAAATATCCTGGCCAACATCACTGCAAAACCAGTTTTAGATTGATAACCAGGATATTTTTATATTACAGCTATGGGCTGTCATTTGCAGCTCATGATTTTTTTGATTGGATTGATGGGGACACGCTAAAAGAATTGTTGGTATTTTATGTTCTTTTAGAGAATTGAAAAGGCAGTTTATGGATTAGTTTGAAATAAAAAACTTATGGCAGATGAGTTCAGCTACTCATCAGCTCCATACACTCAATTATAATGCCCACAGTGAGTTGTGTTTTATAATTTCCCCAATACATCAGAATTGGTTGATTTCCCTTCGTTTTCAGTGCTAATTTTGAGCCTTTATTGGATTATTGCACAAATCAAAGCACACAAACCCCACTTTGTGTATGATTTTATCCTCGCTGAAGATTTTAACATTGATTGGAAAAACTACATTTTTTCTTCAGCATTAAATGCTTTTAAAAATTTGATAAAAAAATCTGTCAACTGTCAACTGCATTATCTAATCCATATATTGGGTAAAGAACATCTGTGCATGTTTTCAACCAGAAAAAAAAAAAGTTCATTTTCCCCTTATTTTCTAATATTTCCATTAAAACTGTGCAGGGGATTGAGAGGCTCCTCTGGGATTTAGGTGTTTTAATTTGGAAATGAGCTTTCTTTATGATGAGGGATAAGAATAAAAAGCAGGTTTGTGGGGTGGGGAAGGAGAAGTCTCTGCAAATTGTTGTGTCAGCTGGGTAGAAATCTTGCAAGGAGCTTTGCCGTGCTGCTAATGATCTTTTTGGGGAGCTGCAACAGAAAGGAACAGGAAGTTATTTGATCCAACTGAGAGTATTTTAGAATAGGTGCTGGTATAACAATGGGCAGGAAAATAGATTGATCAGGGAACAAGAGGATAATTGGCAAAAATCACTCAGGCAACTGATCCCTTCAGGGAGATGGAATTCAAGACTTCTGGAGTTGTGCAGCTATTTCTATGTCAAAAGCTGTAATTTCCCTTGAAAAGGAGTGACAGCTTCTCTGACTAAGCCCACTTGATTTTGATTTCCTCCACTGACACTCCTCATCCATTGGCCTTTTGTATTCATTTTTCATCAGTGAGGGCTTCTTCCTTAATTAGACCCAATATTTCGGAAAAAAGCAAACCTGTTTCTCCATTTCTCCATGTTAGGATTAGAGTTTTAGCTTTAAAAATTAAGTTTTTCTGCAAGATGGCATTTCAGCAAATATTTCTGAGAAGGTGAAGCTGTTAAATAACTCTTCCACTCATTCTGGAGTAAGATCTCCAGTAGCAAAGATGTTGCAAAGAAGATGCTTGGATAAACTTGTCTTTTTAGCTGGGTTTCTGTTGAACAGCCCTAAATCTTCTTTTTCCAGCCCTTTTTAGAACACAGGAATCACAGGGCTGTCAGGGAGACTTTAAGTTCAAACACAATGTGAATCTTTGTGGATGCAGCAGAACCTAAGGAAAGGGGACGTGTCCAACTAAGAATTTCTTCAGAGGGAGCAAAGGGTGAGGAAAGATCTCAGTGATAAACAGGCAGATGTGGTGGAACAATGCCAGACAGGAATTCCATCAATATTAGAAAGGTGGTGCCTGTAGGACACACGAAGTACGAGCAGATGGAGGATGCCTCAGATCATGGCAGCCCTTGAAATCAAATCACAGAATCATGGGATGGCTTGGTGTGGGAATCCAGAGCTTCCCCCTGGCTGCCCTGGCAGGTCTGGGACCCTGGCAGGGCTCAGGAACCCCCCTGGACAGAGCCCCCAGAGACACTGGCTGTCATCTCTGTCCATGGAGAGGAGTTTTCAATCTTACAGGATTAATTACAATCTCTGAGTGTTTGATATAAGTAATAATTAAGTGTGGCACAGGTACAAAAGTAAAATTTTAGGATTCTAGATTAGGGGTCCAAAGGGGACAAGATGGAGGAAATTGGGTGTGTCTTGTCCTTTTTCTCCTTCTTCATGCCCTCCATGTTTCACTGCGGTGTTGGCATTTTTCTGTTGGTTCAGGCTGGGGACACACTGTCCAACGTAGGTGACAGATATTGGCACGTTATTGTAAATCCAGCACAGGTAGTTTGTGGTATTTAATGTTTGTACCATCCCACTGAGGGCAGAGCCCCACACGCTGCCCTGCAGGACAGAGCTGCGGCAGGGCAGCAGAACATGTTAGAGATAAACAGAATAAACAACCTTGAAACCAGCACAGACCAATTATGGCTTCTGCTTTGGCAGGGGACTGACAGACAGAGACTTTCTACAATCTCCGAATCATCAATACCTCAGATTCCAACAGTTTGGGTTGGAAGGGACCTTCCAAGGTCATCCAGTGCCGTGGGACATCTTCAACTAGACCAGGCTGTTCCAATTCCCACCCAGCCTGACCTTGAATATTTCCAGGGATGAAGTATCTACCACCTCTTTGGGCAGCTTGTGCCTGAGTTTTACCACCCTCATCTGTCTTAAATCCAGACTGGCTCTACCCTCTCCTAGTTTAAAACCATCACCTCTTGTCTATCACAACAGGCCCTACAAGCTTCTTGGGTAGAAGATTAAAGAATAGTTCACTGTTTAAAAAAAAATATTGAAGTCTAAATTCTATTTGTCTAAACTATGAGCTTGCTATTTTTTGGCTAATTTTGCTTTATACCTCTGCAAGATTAATTTGTCCACAAAGTGGAGAGAGAAGCCATGTGGCTTTTCAGATGCTGATAATCTATTTATTTGTCACCTTGACGTAGGAACCAGAAAACCAGAGTCCCTGATAGATTTCTCACTCACAGTGGTGATGGCTAATGGTGGTTAATGTTTTCTCCTCCAGCTGCACATGTGCTGGTCTTGAGAGGTTACTAAATGATTTTTCAGGAAACACTGAATGATTTTTCAGGAAACTGAAATATTCTTTGCAGTTATCATGCTCATACATAAGAATAAAGTGGCTAATCCAGCCTTTAATTTTGTGAATAACAGAGATACCTAACAGAACTCTGTGAACAATGCAGACGTTTTACCAAAAATCAAAAAATTGATAATTTTAGTCATCTTGAGGTGAAAGTATTTCTATAATTAAACCTAACTCTGTAAGGTAAAAGGTCACTGTAAATTATTTTTAAAATATGCTAATTAATTATCAATTATTTCCCAGTAGTCTTGCTTGGGTTTAATATCACTATTATTATTATTATTATTGTTAACTCATTTGGCCCTTGGACAAAATTGTGGTTTTTTCAAAACACAAAAGAGATAGAAAATGTCTCTGCAGCTTTATGGCAATATAAAAGTAAATAATTTGATTTAATCCTTTAGAATTTTGCTGCTCTCAAAAGACTTAAATCTATTTTACTTTTGGTCAGTGGTGAACTTTGGTGTGACACATGAGTTTGCACCAATTCAGCTGAGTGGAAGGGAGAAGAGGAGGAGAGGATCAGCAGTGACCCAAAAAGAGAAATTAAATAAGAATTGGTCATTTTGGGTAAAGCACACCTTTGGAGAGGTTGGCTGCCCAAGGGTTTGCCTGCACTGAGCTGGGTTGGAAATGAAATTCTGAGTGCCCTGAGTGTGTTTGTTAACACCCCCCAGGGGATGTGGGCATGGCACCAGCAGTGGGTAATCCTAACCTTGTAAAACACAATAATTAGCTCTCCCTTTACCCTTGTCTTGGGCAAATTGCTACTATCGTTTTCTGAGATCATGGAAAAATCCCTGCAAATAGAACATCTGCCTTTTGATTAAACACATGCAGAGATATTTCAGCAGATACCCATTAATCAAACTTAAACTTTGTTTTACCTCATTTTTAGTTAGTCAATTGTTACAAAGATCTACTTTCTTTTCTATTTATCAGATGGTAAAAGAGGTACAGGGCTACAATGTGATTAAGGAAGGACCTGAAAACATTGAAGATATTATTTCCCCATGTATTTCCCTCGCTTGTAAAATTCATTTTGGTTTAATTTTCGAAATGGGTGAGCAGCTATTTGAGATAACACAGCCAGGGCTGAGTGCCTCTAAAGCCAGCACGTCCAGAGGTCCATCACTGCCAGCTTTATTAAGCTCAAAGCTGAGGAAAGAATGATTTGCTGCCTTCAGAGTCTATGGCAAAGCTGATTTGGGAGCCTTGGGAAGAGTCGTATGAGGGAAGAGATGAAGGAAAATTTTCTGTCTCCATCTTTTCTGGGTTTTGGCAGAATTAGCTGAGGAGTCAAAGCTGGCAATGCTATAAGTATGAAAGCAATAGAATGACCTAAAATGTAGGGTCAAAATGTGCTAATTAGGTAACAATTAATGTTGAGTGACCTCTAGTGGTGCTTTCCTACAGTTTATCCTCAGATTGGGATCTCTGACAGGACCTGGAGTTTGGGATCTATGTTTAAGAGCTCTCATGCAGCAATAAGATAAACAGTCTGTAGAAAATGGGGTTTGTTTAGCTGAGAAAAGTTCTGATAAACTGAAGCAGAAAATAATTTTTTTTTAATTAATTGCTTTGTGCTAAAATCCTTTATTCACATCAGGCAGAGCAGCAAACTGGAGCCCACCCCTCGACACAAGTTTTGATATAAAATTATTTTTTATTACCCCAACATTTGAGAAGACTCCAGCTGTCAGAAGGTCAACCATGAGTGCTTTGTGGTGATTCCATTTTCCATATTCCATTTTCCACATCTCACAGGAAGGCAGGACAATCATTTATTTGCTAAGTGCCCATCACACACACACCCCTAGATCTGTACAAACACCAGCGGCTCTGTTTCTTTCCTGAGCCCCTCTCTCAGCATTCCCACACACCTGAGATTCTCCCACTGGCACTTGTGCCATCAAACCTTTCCTTCCAAAAACACACCTGGTCCCCAGGGATGTGCCAAAGGCTCTCCTGGAGGTGGCCTCTTCTGATGAGAAGTGAGAGCAGGTCCCTCACTACTCATAATTACAAAAATAAAATAATTCCATGAGGTGGTTCCTAAATGGGGCAGAATGAGCCCAAATGTCTGGACAAACAGAGTCAAGTCTCACCCTCCATGTGAGATGCTCCTATGGGTATTTATTCCTAAACATCTCAAAGTGATGTTGGGAGAGGCCGCAGCCAGCCAGGCTGATCCCAAGGACATCCTTGGAATTCCATGGACAGCTGGAGTTTATTTTGGTGAAAAGAAAGCTCAGGGAAAAACTCAGCCTGACAGGAGGTTGTAGCCAGGTAGGGATCAGACTTTTTTTCCCCAGGGAACTAGTGACAGGACAAGGGGAAATGGCCTCAAGTTACACCAGGGAAAGTGCAGGTGGATATTAGGAAAAAAATTGTTACTGAGTGGCTCAGCATTGAAATGGTGGAGTCACCATTCCTGGAAGAGTTCAAAAAACAGTATGTGTGGCATTTAAACTCAATATTTTTTAGTGGATGTGATGATATTTGGTCAATGGTTGGACATGACGATCTTGGAGATCTTTTCCAACTTGAGGATTCTATAGGATCACCTGGAATGGCCTTACAGCAGCTTCGCCACAGACAAACCAGCTTCCCAAAGAGAGATACACAGATATTAAATCACAGGAAGCAAAAAGGATTTGCTCAGGATAACTTTGTGCACTGATGGGGATGGTGGGAGTGATCCAACGCGGCAGCACCTAAATTAAATGTAAATTAAATACATTTCATGTATTAAATGCGGTAAATACGATTTTTTAAATATGATTTTTTTCAAATGTTCCAGAACACAAGTCAGGGAATAAATGAATCCCCTTTATTTTCCCTAAACTCTTACCTCGGGGTGAATTCTGAAGCGCACCCTGAGCAGAAATTCTCGACGTTTGTTCTGGATGAGCGAGGGGCAGTAAAACACCTGACGAGAGCCGCAAGAAATCCAAAACTGTAAAGATTTACTGCGCTCACAGTTACAGCCCCACAGCCCTGTGAAAAGCCCCAGTAAAATATACGAGTTAGTTCTGCTGAGCAGAGCTGCAGGCTTTAAATCTGCACAGGTGCTGCCTTCCAAACACGTAAATAAAACCTCAAATGGCTCCCTCAGAACGCACCAGGGCTCACTGTGACACGGGGCCTGTCCTGTAGCTGTTCGTTTTTGTAACGTGGAAAAAGTCACTTTTTATTTGCATTCCCTCAGTGTTGATGAAGATTTCAGCTGTTGATGAAGATTTTCAGTTCAATCTCAGCTGGCTAATGGTTTCCTTTGCACCAAGATGGGAGTCCAAAGGCAATGGTGGGATATATGATATAATTATTTTCCCTAATGGAAAAAAACATTCCTTTCAATGGCAGTCCTAAATTATTGATGCCTTAAAGGCAAATGCTTTTGTATATTAAGTATTTGAAAACTGGGTGAGTAGTAGAGTAAGTCTTGAGTAGGGAGGGCAAGAAAAACCTGTGTTAAGTCCATTACTGAATGCAGCACTGAACGACTTGCAAGAATTTATCCTACTCTATATTTATTTCTTTTTCATGCATGCCCTGCTATTTTTATGGATTGAATATATTTGTTTTTTCCTTAATTAATATTCTTTTAGCTCTTTAATTTCATGATACCCAATAGAACTCTATGAAAAACACAAGAAGTTTTACCAAAAATCAAAAAATTGATAATTTTAATCACCTTGAGGTGAAAGTATTTCTATAATTGGACCTAACTCTGTAAGGTAAGAGGTCACTGTAAATTCTTTTAAAATATGCTTATTAATTATCAATTATTTCCCAATAGTCTTGCTTGGGTTTAATATCACTATTATTGTTATTATTATTAACTCATTTGGCCCTTGGACAAAATTGTGATCGTTTCAAAGCACATAAGAGATAGAAAATGTCTCTGTAGCTTTATGGCAATACAAAAGTAAGTAATTTGATCTATTCCTCTAAAAAAATCTTGCTGCTCTCAAAGACTTTAAAAATCTATTTTACTTTCAGTCAACGGTGAACTTTGGCGTGACACATGTGAGTTTGCACTTAATCCATTTTGTGGTGACCTGCTCCTTTATTGCTCTCTGCTCCAGCGTGGGAGAAAGATGGTTAAACACCATCAGGAGCTGATGGAAACGCCTCCAATGAAATTTCATTTTTCAGAGCAAGGCAGGGCAGCTCCGAGAGCCAAAATTGTCTCTTGTCAAAGGAGAGAGAGATGCTCTTTGGAGGCACTGACTGCAGGCAGAAAGAGGCACAAGGAACTTAGGCAAGGGTTTAACTTTAAAAAAGAAATAATCTGAATCTCTTGCTTTCACTTGGATGATGATTTAAGTTTGCAGTTGTGTGGCGGCCAATTTTAATGTTTGTATTAGGATCCAGAATGAGAGTTTTCCATTAAAAACCTTCAGCTTCGGAGCAGCTCCTCCTTAAGTTGCCACTGTCTACTCAGTCTGTTTTGTGGGGTTTGATGGTTATTTTTTTAACTCATCAAAAAATAAAATAAATGCACTGAAAAATGCTGTTTAAAATATTTTAGAAATAAGCTTATAGATAAAAAGCATTTTTGAGAGTTTCCAGACATATGAAAGGAGTGGAAGATTTCAAAACCTTCTTATTATGAAGAGTATTTTATGCAAATGCTGTCAAAGATACATCTATGCAAAGGAATTTTTACTGGTAAAGTAAAAATACAATTTAGAGATTTATGCTGCAGTTGCAGTGCTCAATCTTGGGTTTTCCAAAGGCAGCAAGATGGATTCTGAAATCCTTATAAAGCCTCTGCAAAACATCATGTGCCTGCCACAAATTCCTGCTTAGAACAATTTAAGTTGCAAATAAGGAACCAGTCCAGAAATTCTGCATGTTTGGCTTGCTTTAAATGACTTGTCCTTGTTGTTATGGTAATTCTATGAAAAAGATTCTCAGAAATCAATTTGTTGTTTGTGTATAATTCCCCAAACTGAGCAAGAACCTGCTGGGTGCTGGGTGGATGAAGGAGCTGCCACTGGCAAAGGTGTTGAGCTCAATTTAAGCCTATCAAATGTGGCAGCATTTAAAATTCAATAATCTTGAATTTTGAATTCAAGGTCAGGAGGGAGTGAGGATGCTGAAGGCATAGCTTGGATCATCCCAAAGGTTATCACCCAGCATTTCTCTCAGAAAATGAGATGTACAAATCCCAGGAAGGGCAGGGCTAGTGGAGTTTCTTGGTGTGGGAAACGGATTTGCAGAGAGTTTTTAGGGTTTGACAGAAGGTTTACATAGTATGTATTTGTATGTAAATGTTGAGATAAGAAATGTTGACTTAGAAATGTTATAGAATGGGATAGATATTGTTGAGAGAGAAATGGAGTTAGAAAAAAGTTTTAAAGGATGGTTTTGTAAATAAGACTGGAAACTGGAGAAATAGAACTATGAAAGATGTATTTTCATAGGACACACAAGGAGTAATTTTAGATGATTGGTTTTAAGGTATTTACAGTATATTGTGGTAAAAAAGCTGATAAGCTGAGAGATGTTTATAGTGTTTTTTAATTAAGAAATAGCTGGCTTTTGATTGTGATAGTGCGAATTATAGCATTTGTATTGTCTCACTCTTTTCATAAAAGTGAAAATAGAATAAAAGATTTTAAAACATGTCTTAGTTGCCTCATGTTGAGGCTAGAAAAAGATATAATCCAGGTATAACAAACCAGTATCAACATATCAGCAATAAACAACCAATAGCTTCACTGGTAAAGCTGTTAAATTACAAAAATCAGACAAAACTTGGAGCCAGGTAAGAAGCAGCACAATAACACAAATGGGAGGAGCGAAAGTTGGATTTACCAAGACAAAAACTGTGCTGAAGGAAAAGTGGCAAGAATATTTCTACTTGTTAGAGGTATAATTGTGCAGAACACAGGCAAAGGCACCGTGGAAAAGCAATAACAGGCATTGGAAGAGTGGGACTGATTGTACATGAAGAAGTCAGGGCAGGTGCTGCACTCTGCGTGCCCATTAAAACCCCGAAAGCACAGGATTTACCTCAGAAACTGGCAGAGGGAATAGACTTTTCCAAAGTGTGCTTGTCCAAAGTCTGGCAGCGCCGTAGGAATCCAGATTTTAAAAACACGCTAATTCTGACTGAACTCACACGTTGGTGCCTATTGAAGTAGGCAAGATTACCCTGGGGGGAGCCAGTTACCTGAAGGATTTCAAAGACGAATGGATTGAAACCTGCAGAGAATAAATAGTATTTTCTGGTTTTTGGATGACATACTAATACCTGGGAGGAATTCAGACGAGTATTTACAAAACCTTGAGGAAATTCCAACATGTTATAAAGTTATGCTTTAAAGTGAACAAAAATAAGATTGTAAGCATGAGATTTTTTTTCCAGCTCCCTAAAACCAAGTTCCTTGCCTAAGTTTCAGGAATAAAGGCTTTAAAAAGGAAAATAAAAACTATTGAGCATGCATTAGTGCCTCAATATTACCCAGCTTCTGTTGTTTTTATCCATGTGAAAGGTTTCTTATGGAAGTTCCAAATTATCATTGCTAATTAGGTTGCTGTTTTCCTGATAAAGGAAACATAAAATAGATGTGGATGGAGCATTAAAATAGGAATCTTTTTTTGAGGAAGAAAAACAAAAAACCCAAGAGCTCTATAGCACCCTATAATTTGAGGTCATTCAGGAGAACCTTAAACCACAATTTCCTGAAGGAAAATGAGCTGTTCCTTCAAGACTCCAGCATGCGAAAAATTCCCAGTTATTTGCCTTTCAGATCATTATCAAAATCTGAAAAGACATCTACATTTTTAAAAGAAAACTTGCTCTCCCATTTAGAAATTAATAAATTCTAGGAACATCTCTTAAAACATATCTTGATGCAGGTAGAAAACCAGAGGTAAAAAAGAGGGGTGACTAATTTACGTTTTTTGGGGGGGCAAGCAGTTTGGGGGATCAATCTTTTATTGTTTTTAATATTGCAAAATTCCCTGTAGACCGTGAAACAAGTGTCCTTCACATCCCTCCTTCCAGTCACCAACAAATTCAGCTGGAGACAGAGAAGAAAAGGTTATTTTCCAAGGAAAGGCCTGGATTTCTGTGTGTTTTTTAAACAGCCTCATCACAGGAGATATTTAAGCTCCAGTGCTTCACTGAGCAGCATTATCTGGGCAGGAGATGCTGCTTTCCAGGAGGACCAGCTCCAAGGAGCTTGGGAACCTTTTTACCATCAGAATTGCCTCAGTAGCATCATGGAGAAATAAAGAAGAACCAAAAGAAGCTGCTCTTGGTGCAAATTTTGATCAGGGCCCTGAGCCCTCTGGAGCCCGCAGGAACAAGGGCAGGGCGTGTTTCTCCCACTCTGTTGGGACTGTACCTCTTGTGTGTGGCCACCTGGACTTGCAGCAGTGTTTTTATGGAGGATTTCTCTGCAAATCTCTTGCAAGGCTTTCCTGGGGGACACAGTGACCCCAGGAGCACTCAGTGTGATTCTGCTTTGCCCCATCCAAGTGAGAGTCCCTTTGGTTATGTCCATTCTCTTCCCAGACCCAAGAGAAATGGAGTCCTGCATATTTGAGAACAAACTCCTGTCTTGTGCTCAGTAACAGGGAGGAAAAGAAAACATTATTGTCCTCAGTTAATTGCTTCTTTGTGACAGGCACACTTCAAAGGCAATTTAGTCTCAAGTGCATCTTAGCAGAGAAAAACCCATATTACCGATTTTAACCCCCACTATTTCCAGCCACGAAGATGAATGAATTCCACCTAATAGAATCTCCACATGGTGGAATGTGAAATTAGTTTGGGGTTTGGTTGGGGTTGGGTTTTTTGGTCTGTTTTGTTTTTTAAAGTCCTGTTTTAATGAGGTGTTTAGTTTAGCACATTTGGCTCCTCCAAATTACCTCAAGGGGATTCATATGTTAACGAACTCCACAGCTGTTGTTTGTGAAACCAGCCTAGCACAAGCAGAGCATGTTGTGCAAAGATTTAAATGCTCTGTTGGAGAGGTCACTGCACTCCTTTGTCTGCTATGAGTTATTAATAATGAGCCTACTACTTAATTTTAAACACTGAGTTAATTTTTTTTTCAGCATCGAATACATTCCAGGTGGGTTTGGTTTGGGATTCAACGCCTGGGTTCCCTGGCAGAGGGAAGCTGCAATCAAACGATGACCTGATTTTATGCAATTGATGAAACATTTCGGGGTGGGGACAACTGGTGATGAAGTTTCAGGCTTTGGAGGTGGTCTGAAGAGGCTGCATTGAGCAGAGAGAATGTTTGCAATGATAATTGTTTTATAAACATGCCTTGATATGCTTCAAAAGCTTTAATTCTGGATTTCTTAAATTAGGCTGGCTTTGCTCCTGGCAAGCAATAAACTGTTTTCATTTCAGATGTCACTTTACATTTAAGGAAATTAATAACTAGGAAAAAAAAAAATCCTGTTTTCTAAGTAAAGGCAGACAATTGGTTTATTTCAAGTATCCAGTTAAAATCCACAGCTCTCCTCGTTGAACAAACGCTGGGTTTTAAGGGCCAGAGTGACAGAATTTATATGCTAGAAGAGTAATCCCAGTTCTTACCATCTCATCAGAAGCAGGATGTGCTCTGCTGTTCCTGGAGCCCACCTGGCCACATCCCAGAGTTGGAAAATCCACTGGGCAGCAGATTGTCCAGAAGAATTGGGCTAGGGGCTGCTGCTTCCCAGCCTACTCCCACATAGCACATTCCATGGCATTCTGGCTCGTAGATCATTTCATCTTTTCAATATTTGGGTTTGATTTCCTCCATGTGCTTTATTACTGAAAATAATGAATGATTTAATAAGGAATCACATCAGAGCAGCCTCTGCTGGCTGGTGGAGACAGAGCTCTGATGCACAGCCCCATGGGGGATGTCATTTGGATGGACCAGGCTTTATTCCCTCCCTCAAAGGTATCAGCATTTAAGTGCAAGGAATGATATTTTGCCTGCAATTTAGGCAGAATATAAAATAGATGTCCAACGGGAGCATTGCCAGATTCGTGCACTCCATATTGGATGAGATCAGGGCTTCTGTCAAACAAATGCAAATGTGGTGTGACTTTCTTGCACACAAAGCAAGAATTTCATCTGAGCCTCCATGACACGGCTCTGAAAACATAATTAAGCTCAGACTCAGAATAAAACCTTTGCCTTCCTCAAGACAGAGAGGTTACTAATTATTGTAAAGTGGTTTGTTTTTTGTTTTTTTTTTTTTGATAAATCGAGTTTTTGGAAAGATTTGGCATTGCTAGAAGAGCTCATCTAAAAAGAGAATAATATGTGTTGAGTGAAAATACAACAATGCTTCCCCAAAATCCTTGTGTTGCTATTTTTCAGAGGCAAAACTGAGGCACAGTATCCCTGAGAGACCATTCTCCCAAGGTATTTACCTTGAGAACAACCTGCAAGCTCCCATGGGTTCAGAGTTCATTTTTAAGATTATGGGATACTTTCCATCCAATACCACCTGAGAGGGACGGTTGGGATGTCATTTAATGTCACTTACAGTGGCTGCTCAGCAAATGGTCCTCTGTCCTCGAGGCAGGGGGGTGAAATCAGCCCTTCATTTAACACAGGCCATTGAAAACCAACCATGCACAGGCTCCTCACTTAAGCAGATGAGCTGGATGCAAATGGATAAACAGGATTGCTGATATTGTGTTCACCCTCTCCCATTTGCAAGCCCCATTTCCAAATGTTCTTTGAATGGGGATAGGTGGAAAGGGGGGAGTTTATTGCATTATTTTCATTGCTTACTCTGAATAATGGAAGTGCAGCAAATGCAGCATGTGGGCCAATCTTTGGACCATTCTTTGGACCTTTCTTCTGTGAACATTCAGTTCAAAAATATTTGTTACACAGTGAATAAGAGGCTGTTCTCTTGCTCAGCATGGAATTAGAATGACTGCCAGTCAGGAATGAAGTCACCTTCCATTTCAGGATCTTTCAGCGAAAAAGGACGAGTTTTCCTGTGGAGCTGAATTTGTCATGTGTGTTCCTGAGGAAATGTTAAGAAACCGAATATTTCATGAAGGTGGAAGGCTTGGAAATACATTTACACCAAACATTTTGGGAAGGTGGAAGGTTTAGAAATACTTTTCTACCCTCTTTCGTTCAGTGCATCCCAGCCCAAAGAGCCCAAAGGCTCCAGAGCATAGCTCTTGTCCCCACTGTGACTTCGCTGTCTCCCAGGACATGCCAGGATTTCCAAAGGGAGCTAGAACTGGGAACAGGTCAGCAGAAACCACAGCACCCCAATATTTCACCTTGTTTACCTATGGATTCCCCACAATATGTATTAAAAGAGCTCAGAAATTCTGGAAGGTGTGGATGGATGGATGGATGGATGGATGGATGGATGGATGGATGGATGGATGGATGGCCAGCAGGTACTTGGGGTTCACCAATACTCCTAAAAGTAAAATCCCCTGACCAATATTTAAGTAACAAAATTAGCGTTCCTTTATAGAGTAATTCCAAATTTCTAGATATTTCTCAGATATTTCTAATAACAAAAAAACCCCAAAATCTAATGACATCTGAAGATGTAGCAGGTCCTGTGGAAAGTAACTTTGTCAAGTCTTTTGGAAAGGGAGACCAATAGTGATAAAATGCAGACTCACCTCACTCGGGGCCATTTCACAGAGCAGCAACACACACAGACATCTCCCTATTTATATAAACCCCATTTATATAACCCTTGTTAGACCCCTTTAAATGCTCCCTGACACATCTCCACTGATGCAGTGCCATTTCTGATAAAAGCCCAACTCTTTTCCTGTATCAAAATGCGCTCATTGTGCAGCAATTCAAAGACACGACTCTTCCTCTTTATGAGCTCTGAAAATATCTCATTAAGAGTTTCACAAATTACCACCATCGCTTCTGCTGACGCGCTTGTTCGTCCTCGGAGCCAAAAAACTGCGGCTGACAACTTTAATGGAACAAAGCAGGGCTTTCCCAGGCTGTGATTCAGCACTCAAACACCTCGGTGTCATCTTGAGCTTGGAGGTTTGATGGAGCCAAGGTGTGAGGTGCCACTTGAGACAAGTGAGGGAAGTGTGGGGATGTTTTTCCTGCCCTCTCTCGGATCTACGGTTTCAGCACTCTTCACCATCTGGTGGAACACTTCAGAGAAGAAAACAGTTCTGCAATATCTAATTTTGCCATGTTTTTGGAACATCATTATAATGATCTTTGTGTCATTTAAGTGTGATTACTCGTCCTCCAAGGCTTTTCCTGTTTACGCTTAAATAGTACTGGAGCATGGCCAGATACGCTTGAAATGAAATGGTACAAAATACTACATTTTTATCATAAAGGCTTAAAAGCAACATTTACAATTAGGGGACTCAGCCTGTGCTTTGCATTCTGGTAGGTTTTTTGTTTTGATCTCATTGTAGTAGTAGATAAATAAAATTAATTAAGCAAGCATAATTGCTGGTTAAATTTTACAAAATCCTGAAGAAATGGAAGGCCTAATTCAAAGTGGCGGTAATGGTGTAAATAATTAAGTCAAATTGTTTTCATTTTCATGCCGCATATTGTTTCCTTCAGCATGTAATGGTACAAGGCAAAGTGTACGCAGTGCTTGAACTAGACAAATAATAGATAAATTTATTCATAAATACTTTGTGGATTGTAATTAGAAGTTGTCTGCTGCAGTGTCTATAGCACCAGTCTATTTTTTCCTTCAGTTTCTGTAAATATTTGTCTGGGGAAATTTGTGCTTTGAAGAATGTAGAGAGAAGGAGAATACATCACAAAAAGTGTTACAAACTCATCTTTGCTGCTTGGTTTGAGCATACAAGTTCTGTGTTCTTAGCATGACGCAGGTGGTCTCTGCCTGCAGCAGGCTGAGGGAGGCTGGGAGCTGGGTGTGAGATGAGTTTCTCTTCTCTCACTGCTTGGTGCCCCAAATAGAGCTTTTCCAGACAGGAGATACGAATTACCTGGTGGAACCTGCCAAAAAACCCACGGGATGTCAGGGCTCCAGGAGAGATTGCCTGGACACGGGGCCGGGCGCACGCAGTGATTGTGCAGGGCAAGCACCCTGTGGGAGAAAAATGGGATTGTTTCTCTCATTGAGAAGGGGAACTTCTCAATGAACTCATTCCAGGCAGAGCTGTGATAATCCAGGCTGGGTGGAAGCTCAGGAGATCCTTCAGGGATCACCTGAAGGATCCTTCAGCCACTCACCGTGGCTTTGAACACTGGTCAGCAACCCTGAAAGGGGCATTTGGGGACAGCCCCCCATCAGCAGCTCCTGGGTGAAACCCATTTGTGTAACCAGCTCACTCTCAGCATAGCACAAATTTATCAAAACACCAGTTTGGAAAATTCAGGGACACAGAAGGTGGAACCTATTGGATAAATCGGCACACTCTCAAATGTATTCCCAATGAGTGCAGTCAAGGATTGCATTAGGATTACTGCACTCCCTAAGGTTTGAGGGACCTTATTCTGCCCCAGTGCACCTACCTGAGTACTGTGAGTGTTGTTAAGCCGTGGAATGAGCAGCAGAAGAGTTTGTGGCACTGCTTGGAGCTGGCACGTGCCAATACCTCGACCACCTGAGCACAGAGCGCAGCACCAGGCACTACAAACAAATCCCTGCAAAGCTCTGCACAGGGGTCAAAAAGACTCCTCAGGTCTGTTGGTTCTTTCCATGTTCTTCCAGCGGGGAGGGAGAGCTGAAAAATACTGTGGAGCTTTTGTTCACCTCTTGCTGCAGTGGAGCAGAGCTTCTACATAGCACTACTGGCCTCTGCTGCCAGCATGGGAGAGGAGGAGAGCAGAGAGGCTTCCCACACCTCTGCCTCTCCAGAGGGCCTCCTGATCCCTGAGTACAAGCTGCAGGGAAACCAATCTTTCATCTTTACCTTATTTTCATGCTTACAAATAAAGGTCAAGGCTCCTGTGCTGTAGCCGACGCCGAACGAGCTTTGAACAACCACCCTGAAATGTGATTGTAATTAGTTTCCTTTCAATCTTGATGTGAACAGTGATCTTAAAATGCCAGGACTGTAGCAGTGCATATGATTAACAAGCACACAGAAAGGCAGTCTGCGGAAAAATATGGATAGAAATGAACAAAATGCAAATGTTGCACTGCTTTAAATTTTATTATCCTCCCAGCTCTTCATAAAATACTGTAGACATAGTTTGATTATATTTTTAGTCTAGGGAATTAATTTTTAACTAGGGAACTTGTTTCTGTCTTATGATTACTCTTCTCTTCAATGGCCTGTAGGTCTGAACTAAAAAAAAAAAATCAAAGTTTTTATTGTGCTAATGATGCCCAGAACTCAAATTAATCTCACTTAGGTGTGTGCCATGCCAATATGTGCCAGAGCTACAGGCAACCTTTTGATACTAGTGATTTCTCCAGGAGCCAGGTGTAAAGCCTGTCAATGTCACCACCTTGGAGACTCCTTGGAGCAGCCAGTGGGGGAAGGAAGAACAGAGCCAGTGATATTTCCTGGTCCCTCCTCTTATTTCACTTCATTGTCTCAGTTGGCAGTAGAGCCTACGGGAGGGTGAGGAGGAGTTGTGAGCACAGTGCTCTGGTCACATCCACTCACAGCCCCTGGTCCAGCTCCCTTCTGCACCCGGGAATGGGTGGGAGCTGCTCCCAGAGAGGCAGAAATTCCCTCACCCAGCCAAAAAGGACTTCAGGGCTGCTCCTCTGCTTTGAGCAGGAGGAATGGGAAGGAGAGAGAAACAGAAGAAATTACATGGGTAATATTTTGCTTGAGAAACTACCGAGCTGTATTTTCTACCTGGGAAAAAAGTGTTGTGGTTTTTTTTTTTGTTTTTTTTTTTCCAGCTGCCAAGTAAATTCACTTTGTCAAAACACAGATTTAAAAAAAAAAAAACCCAAAAAACCAGAAGAATAGAGCTAGAAGGCCATGGTGGAGGCACAGAGGAGATAAAACAGAGAAGAGTCTTCAGAGGAGGAATGTGGCTTAACACCCTGCAGGTAACTGTGGCTCTCCTGCCCTTCAGGCTGACCCAGACATGCAGCAGTGTCTCAACCTTGACCTTGTTCTGGGAGCCAAAACTGCACTCCAACACCTACCCAAACCTTATTTATTCTCTTCTCCAAACAATTTCAATTCAGATACCCCAGCACGATACCCTGATCCAGCTGAGAGAGCCCTTACTCAGAGTTTGTGGTACCCAACACCTCAAGAGCACGGCTCTGCTCAGTTGCCTCATCCCACTGCCTTGGGCTCTCATCTCCACACTGAAATCCACTTCAAATGGAGTGCTGAAAATCCAATTGTTTGCTGTCAAAAAGTTTCCATTTTGTGATGAAAGATGTGACCTTTCCTTTTGGAGTGATTAGTAAACATGAGGTAAAATGCGGGAGCACGCCAGTGTTAACTTGATACTGCCACAGGCTCTGTGCATCAAATATTTCTGCTTTATTCTGAACGTCCTGTTAATGAGAAAAATATTCAAATCAAAGAAATGTGTTTCCTTCAATTCTCTTCACAGTGCAATTTGAAGCTCCAGAATAGCATGCTCAGTTATGTCTGTCTTATTCCTAAACTGGGGGGGGGAAGCACCAGAAAATTATTAAATAAACCTCCTAAAACCGTTAAGTAACATCCATATTAATTGTTTAATTGCTTTTTTATTATTTTCCATCAGGTAAGAAGTGAATAGCACGCTTGCTCAAAGGATTTATTCTACAAAACACTTGGAACACCAAATTCCAAAGTCAGGCAGACTCCAAAGGCAAAATGCCTTGGGAGATGGGCAAAAACCTCTCCTTAAAAACTGCTGGAGAGGCTCCTGCGACCAGGAGCAAGGAGCAGCATTTTTTCACATGTTCTGGCCCTTCATGGGATGCCTGGTAAAGGCTCACCTCCAGGCTGAGCAGCAGGGATGTGCCCGTGCTGCAGAGCCAGCAGCAGGTGGGGGCTCCTCGATGCTCAGTAGCTCCCCAGGGTGGGTGTGAGCCCTTTGGGCATTTGGTTTGTTTTACCCAGAGCTGGTACTTCCCCTCTGGATAAGGATTTATTCATCCCAGGAGACTTCCCTGAGGAGGCTCCTGAGCTTCCTGGGAAGAGTGAACAGTGTCAGCACCAACCCAGCGACACCAGGGCTGTTTGGGGGGCATGCAAAGCGGGCCTGCTTCCCAAATTTCCCAAGAGCCATGAGGAATTAATTCCTCAGATATAAGACATGCTTCTAGTATCAGCTAAGATGGCACATACCAAAGGAAACAGATGGGCAGCGATGTTCCTTTCTCCTTCTTTGCACAGGCTGAATTTTCCATATTGACTCTGTGTAGGTTGCAGTATCCATAGGTGGGATTTTAGGGAATCCAGAGGGTGCTGGGCACTGCCCAGGCTCCCCAGGGAATGGGCACAGCCCTGAGCTGCCAGAGCTCCAGGAGGATTTGGGCCATTGCCCAGGGTGGGATTGTTGGGGTGTCTGTGCAGGGCCAGGAGCTGCACTGGATGATCCTTGTGAGTCCATTCCAACTCAGGATATTCCATGATTCTATAACAGCTTTTTTGTCCTCAGCATCTTTTGTGCAGAGTGCTGAGACCACCACACTGAGGCTGGGGACATTTCAGCCGTGAAATGAGCCCGTGTACTCCCCAGGTGCACCTTCCATCATCAGCATTACTGCTGGCATTTACTGCCACCCCCATGAAATGCATCTGCACAAAGGCTGTGAACTGCTGATGGGAGACTGAACCATGAATGTCTGAATGAGAAGAGTCTTGAAAATTCCCTCTGGAAGGCTGGGGGGACAAAGGACCATGGATTCTAAGAACTGTTGACACAATACAAACTTTTTTCTGGCATCTATAGATAGGTTTCTTTTCAGAATCCTGCAAATTATTGGTTGTCTTGTTCCTCATAAGGAGGAGAAGATTAAGGTCCACATGTAAATTTGTTCACACTTCAGCAGCCAGATTTTCCTGGACTACCTTCTGCAGCATCCCTGAAACCATCTTTAACACCTGGGATGAGGATATCTCCTCCTAATTTCTGCCAGGACAAATTGTGCCCAAACACACAGTCCTGCAGCTGTCCAAGTCCTGGCCTATGGGTTGGAAATTGCCATCCAGGTCAGGACTGATATTTATAAAAAATCCATCTATGGCAAGTTCTGCACCTCAGCTGCCTGGCTTATATTTGATTTTTTGTCTCCATGAACATGCACTTATTTCCTAAACCTTTTTTTAAGAAGTATTACCATAAAACAGCTCCTTCAAGAGCAATAACAAAGTCCCATAGTTTCAAGTCTATCAAAAAGACTTTGTCACACTGTAAAATAGAGATGTCTTCAGAGATAAACCTCTTGATCCCTAAAATAGCCCCCATCTAAACATAAATACAGAGTCCAAACACCTTCTCATGTAGTTCACAATTCCGCTCAAATAAAAACTGTTTACATCAATTCCATCAGCTGTCAGTTGACAGCACTTCTGTACCAAGTATGTGATTAATCCCTCATGTGAAAGTCACGAGTTATGTGAAAAGAAATGACAACCAACCCATCTCACTACTCACAGCAGGGAGGAAATGCTGAGAACGAGGAGCTGGGCACAGCAAAACCGTCGGCAGGACGAGGACCAGGTACAGAACAAGAAAGTTTCAGATTCACGCTGGATGCTGGTCCTCGGTGAATTCACATCCATCTGTCAGCCTCACTTGGGACCTCGCTCCCTGATTCGAGCTGATGGCAAGGATCTGAGTCAAATAAGTGAATATTTTTGCTAAATGTTGTCTGTCACATCCCGTTAGTCCCGCTGGGTTCCCCGCCATACCATGTGGTGCAACATCGCGTGATGCAGCAGGGATGATTTCATGTGACATGACAGAGCAACACTGCTGCAGATTTTGGAATAAACACCTGTTTTTAGCAGTTATTTCATCTGCTAGAAGTGATTTCCTAAAACAGATAACCTGGGTCCTGCTACATTGCACTTTGCTCTTTGTGTATCTCTAATAACTTCCATACTTTGGTAATTTTCTATTATTCCATAAGCCACGTTGCCTGATAGGGTTGGATTTTCATGGGTTTTCTTTTCAACAGAAGTTAAAAATGAACTTACAAAAACTGGGAGAAAAGGAACTACTCTAAACCAAGAGGAGACACATGGTAAAAGTTCTTATTATGGAAAGAAGGCTGTGTTAACAGCAAAGAACATATTTACCCACAGGTAAAAATAATAACAGGAACAAACTTTAGAAGACTTATTCTTCCTTCAGAAACCTCAGCAGAATGTTATAAGTGAAATCTGGGTAAAAAATTCTCTCCTTGGAGAAATAGAGACACAGAAAAGGCAAACATTTAACTGTTGATTTTGTACTTGCAGATGTAGGTTTTATGAATGGGAACATTTGCAATTAAAAAAAAAAAACAACCCAACAAGTTTTGGGTGACCCTTTCTAGAATTCTGCTTCATTATCCTTGACCTGACTGACAGAAATATTAGCAGTGGGGAATAAAACTGCTGGTTTAGTTATTTAAAAACTGAAGTAATTTATTCATCTTGAATAGATTCTCTCCTTCCAAAAATCCTTCCATCTGCATGTGAATGCATGAGAGCTAATTAAATTGGCAGCCATGGCTCTGTACTTCTCATTTGGAGGACCTTCATCTCAAGCTAGAAGAGCTTCATCCTCCAGGACCTTGTAAGAGAAGAGGGAAAGGGAATCAAACACAAGTGCAAAGTTCAAAACAGACATGGATTCCAGGAAAAAAAAAAAATAAACCAAAATAATTAAATTTGGATCACCCTAGTCTTCTCAAAGGGAACAAAACTGGTCCCATGAAGCTCCAGAGATGGTTTCTGCACGCTGGAGCTGGCAGAGAGATTTGGAATGTTCTTTGTGTACCTGGCACTTTTGTTGGGAAAGCCACAATGTCACTGGGTCCCTGTTAGGATTCCACCTGTCCTTCCTACCCCTTGCCCAGGACAAGATGCCACCTCGCTGCATGGCAGGCAAAATTCTGAATTTAACTAGAATTGCATTTCATAGAGGCATCACAAATCTTGGCATTTGCTAGGACTAATGGAAATGGCCCCAAATTGCACCAGAAGAAAGGGGCTGGATATTGGGAAAAATTTCTTCAGAAAAAGCCTTGTCCAGCCCCAGCACTGGTGAGATCACCATCCATGGAGGGATTTAAAAGATGTGTAGAAGTGGCATTTCAGGACAGGGTTCAGAGGTGGCTTTGGAAGTGCTGGAGGGACTGCTTGGAACTCTTGACGATTCTTTGCTAATATAAAAGTTTCCCTGATTCCGTAATTCCACGATTCCATGAAACGTGGGCTGGGCTTCTGGTCAGCAAGGAGGAGAGGGCCTTGAGCCCTGCAAGGAGGGAGAAAAAGGCTGATTCTTGCAGCAAAGGTGTCCTCCCATGGGGACTGTGCTGCTGTGTCACCCCGTGGTGGCCCTGGGGACCCCGGGGTCCCTCCCTGAGCACGGGCAGCCCCGGCAGACAGCAGCAGCTCGGTGCTCCTCACCAGAAACAGGAGCTGCACTGGGATGCATTTTCTCCAAATGCAGAGCACCTTGTGACCTTCAGTAAAAATTAAACACTCGGAGGGATTGGGCAAAGCAGATTTTAATTTCTAATAAATCCAGGCCGCCGGTGCCTCCCTTTGTAGAAAGGCCCCGAAGAGCTCCCGGGCTATGCGAGCCCTGCGAGCTGGCAATGTATTTTAATGTATTTATTTGATGATGCATTCATTCTTTCATTCATTCATCTATTCAGTCATTCATTCAGACACTTGTTCATTCATCCCTGTCCTTTTGCAGGAAGAGAACATAAGCCAGCAGTGGCATACTTCTTCACTGTCCTGATTTACAGCCACGGCTCTCAGTTGGTATCAATAAATCTCTTTGGCCCTCCTCAATCTAGCATTATCCCTCATTAGTGACTGGGATTTAAAAAAAGGGATTAAAAATAATATCAGATTATAAATAGATGGGTAGATATGTGTATTGTTTGCAGTGCTTTGATTAAGGTGCTGGGCTGCTGATGGGTTTTTTTCTCTTTTATTTAAAATCTCTCATATTCACAGTCCTCTGGACCTTGCAATTATTTTCACAAACAGTCCCTGATGTTTTATTAGCTGGCCCAATAATTTTTTCTATCAGTGATGGATAACTGCCCTCCCAGAGGTTGTTGATGCTGAGGGGAGCTCTGCTGAGCCTGGCTCTCACCTCTGCCTTTGCCTGTGGGAGATTTTTTGGTGTTTTGTGGCCCAGGGAAATATTTATTTAAAACTATTTTAAAATAACCTTTGTGGGGCCATCCCAGCTCTGGCTGTCAGACTGTGTGGGTTGTGTCTAGAACTGCTTCCCCATCAGTGCTCTTCTCAGCCCAAACATGCACATTTTATCTGCTTCTGAGTATGCTTTAAACATGGGAATATTTTCTCTGAGGAGGACTGAACTGAAGGGGAACCACTCTCTGAGTTGGGATTACTCACCCTCTAATAGCTGCTGGAACAATTTTTCTCCCATATCTTTGAAATACCCTTAATTAATCTTGCCGACAACTTGCAACATAATTGTGTCCCTAAACTGTTAACCTTGAAAAATATTTGACAGTGTATTACCATCTCAGAAACTTGTTATCACAGGGAATAGAGTAAATCCATAAATATCCTGGTTTCTCTTGAAAGTCACAGAATAATTCTTTGTTGACAGTCTTTATGGTCTTTTCTTTTTTTTTTTCCTTCTTCCTGTCCCCTTAGTTTTATTTTTGACCTGGTGGCAGGAGATGCAGGAGAGAAAGAGGGGCATGTTAGAAAAAACAAACGAACAGCAGTCTGGAAGAAAAGGTGGTTATATATTATGCATAACCTAGTGGTTTTTATACAAAGGAGCTGTCCCTTGCATTTCTTCCTCATTTGCATATCTTCAGGGCACCAGAGGACAGAGACACTGGATGGCACCAGCTGCCATCTGCAATCGGGTCACAACTGGTCCCTGCTAAACCAAAGAGACAAAAACACAACCCTGCAGTCCAGGGAGAGCAGAGCCCGAGCTGGCCCATCCACACAGCTGCTGCTCCCCAAATATACAGCTCCTGCTGTATAGTTCAGTTTAGTTTTCATGTTTTCCAGATTCTGCACTGCCTCGGTGTGTGACTCTGAACTCCACACAAAGTGCCAGCAGCTCTCCTCACAGCTCAGAAATGTCACTACAGGACACGTGAAAGCACGACATGAGCCACTGCTATTGCAAAGGTGAAAAAGAGGAAGTTTATTTTCTGACTCCAGCATTTGTACTTTTCCAAAGGCGACAGTGGATTGGAGGGTGAAGGTGCCACCTCTCCAATGGCATTGGACAAACTACCAGTACATCAAGTTTCTCCGCCTCCATGGAGGAATGGTAAATAGGTTGTTTACAGAAAGTTGTGTGAGAAAGTTCTCTACGAGAATGTAAACTCAGAAGGCTTTAGAAAATCTTAAGAATCAGGGCAACACAGGCACACAGAACAATCCTTTTCCAGCCCCAGAACTGTGACAGCTTCAGGCCCAAAAAGTGCAAACAGCAGGGAATGGAGGAGAGCAAACTGGGAGGATGGGACTGCACAACCTGGAGCTGGAATTGGACAATGAACCCCAAGATGGAAATGGACCAAAACTTATAAAATGTGAAAACTCATGGCCAGGAGTCTATCTTGGGTGTAGCCTTGGTTGGGCTCTTGTGCTGCCCCAGGTGTATCCTGTAAAGGCTTTTCCAGAAATGCCTGCTTTATCTGGAACTCTGTTCCAGGAGGGAATGACGATGTCCCCCAGGCTGGCACCTGCTCAGTGGGGCTGGGACACCCAGAGGTGTGAGGCACCTGCCCTGCCCTGCCACCAGCAACCCTGGAAACCTGGTAACTCCAATTAAAGTCATTAACATTTCTTCTCTTGGTCACAAACTCTGCTCTGTTTAACCGCCTGGCATCCACTGTTGCTAACAGCGATGGGCCTCTCCCAGGCCTGTCTGCTGTTCTCACTATGCTGCCATTTGAAATCACCAGGCAAAAAAAAAATTAATCAGGAGCTTAAAAAAGCTAAAGCAGACAGGCTGTTTCAGATTATTTCAGTATGTGTGCTCGCTGCACCAGCCAAATGTTCCTGTTAAAGCCATAGTCTGATTTTCCCCCTGAAAATCAGGTTATAAACAAAAGGATTAGACAGAGACCAACCCAGGCAGAGAATTTAGATCTGGGTTCAAATATGAGGTGGAAATGATGGAAACGCTTTGGTTTGAGGCCTTCTCTATTTTAATAATAGTCCTTTTCAAATATATGTATCCTTCATGTATTTTTATATCAGGGATTAACTGTGTATCTTGGGAGAAAACAGAAAAGGAGGTCATTATTTTACAGGTTAGTTTGGAGGAATTGGAAGGTGAGGATCATAGGGACAGCAAGCACAGCTGCATTTCTTATAATTTTCCCATTAGAATATACTAAATCCACGCTGCTGCTCCCTCATTTTTGCTATGTTTGTAGGTATTATTCTCATTTTTGGATCTAGCAGCCCAGACACTTGAAAAGAAGGTGACTGGTTTTCACTAAAGGAACACTTTCTCACTTAATTCAAACACTCATTCAGTTTGTATTTGCTAATCTTCATATAAAATTTAAAAATAAGAAAAAAACATGCAGCTAAATGATATTATATGAGGTTGATATTATGTGAGGTTGCAATGTGTATTCCCAAAAATTAAACTCAATATATATCATATATTTATACAACTGTACCTAAAAGTGTTCCAAGAGAGATTTTGGGCAAGGGAGGAAGGGACAGGACAAGGGGCAAGGGTTTCCTATTGACAGAGGGTAGGGTTAAGGGATATTGGGAAGGAATTCCTCCTTGGGAGGGTGGAGAGGCCCTGGAATAGAATCAGGGATCTGTCACTCTGCAATTCCAACTACTTTGGGAGGGTTTCGTTTGTTGTTTTTTTTTTTTTTTGCACAGAGTTCTGTTTGTCCTACACGTGCCACAGCTGCCTATTGAAGCACCAGCAAAAGCAAAAGCTTTGGGGAATTCCCAACAATGAAGTTGAAATTTCTTTCCTGGTTAGCATTCAGCCACACTGTAATGTTTAGCAGACATTTTCCCTTCTCCCAGTTTTCAATAGGCTGCATTTATCAGCATGGAGTAGCAATCAACATGTATTTGCTCATGTATTTATAAAAGTCAGCTGTGTGCTTCCACATTATTTCAATTTTTCCTTTAAAACCCCTTTGCTTTGTTTGCCTTCAGCAGGGTGGATTTGATGCGTGTATGGTTTGGTGTGCAATAAATCCAGGAGTATTAGCACAGGTATTTCATTAATAGCTAAAGTGAATTATTTATAGAGCCCCTTGTTCCATCCCCAGATTTATTTAATATTGGCATTATAGTATTAGATAAGTTATCTTCAAAAGAAAAAAAAAAAAAACAACTGGATTATTATTTGTATCTCTGCACTTAAAATGACAATTTCCTACTGGGAGATAAATTCTAATACCACTGGATTCTTGAGAAAATCATATATTCTGCAAAGTTCTGAAGGTGATCTGAGATAATTAAGCTGTGAATGGACAGCATTTCTAAAACTCTAAGGAATGACTGCTCTGGATCAAAATGAGCAGAACAACCATGATTTACCCTGAGTGACCAAATCACTGATGTGATTGTTTTGTCCTTCCAGCAATATTTTTCCAAAGTAAAAAATGTAAAAATGCCCTATCCTTGAGGAAAACCTTGAGGAATTTAATTCTGAAAAGTCAAAAATTTAATTTAATTCTGAGAAGTCAAAAAAAATTTGATTTTTTTAGTGCTGCTTTTCTCAACCAGTTGATTACATCTCAAAAGGGTCGCGAAAGGCAATTAGAAGACAGAAGGCATTTAAAATCTTATTATCTCCCCAAATGAAATAAAAAGTCCAACTCCTACTCCCCCATTTAACTTATGCCACAATCCCCCAAAGTCCCACCAGCAACCTTCCCAAACACACCCAACTGCACCACAGAATTGGGAATTATGGACACAGATTGGAGGGGAATTTATTTTCCTGGAAGGGGAAGGGGGTCTTAAACAAATTACACAGAAAATAAAGGTCCACTTGACATATTGGAGTACTCATTCAACAAACGTGTAAATTATGCATTCATTTATCTCCCCTCCTTATCTCATTGGCTTGTCTCATAAAAATAGTTAAAACACTGTGCTTTCAGACATTTAGACCAAGCCACAGATTTATTTTTTTTAATAATATCCAGTTCAGAAGAGCACTTTGGCACTTGCCTGGACCCCACTGTCTCCAACTTAATGGGCATTAACTGTCCCAGCTGAGTTTCTGGAATAAAAGCCATTGATCTGTGTCAGTCAGGATCTTGAAAACTGAAGACCTGAGGTTTCAAATCCCAATCTGCTCATATGCATTAAAATAAGCTGGAAGTCTTCACTGGACTTGGGCTCAGGCTCTGACAACCCCAACTCCAGCTAAAATTCATTTGAGTAAACCTCAGAATAAAACTGAATATATTTCCCTGGCAAGACAAAAAAGTTGAGATGATGATTGTGATATTATTATTTTCATTTATCATTATTATTGTTGATATCATTGCTACATAATCCTTTCTCTCTGTTCAGTGGAATGTCCATCCTGCAGCAGCAGTTGGGGATTTCTATCTAACAAATCAAACCCCAAGTGCAGTGAAATAGAGCTGGTGAGAGCTCAGGAAAATAATTCAGAGTAGAATGGATTCATTCAGGATGCTTTCCCTGTCTGCTGGCACATATGGAACATGTGGAGATCAGCTGAGCTGTAATTATAAGACAACATCAAGAATGGTCAAAAATTTCCTGGGGCAAACACCCCAAGGAGGGGAAGGATCCTTTTGGGGGCTGCAAGTAGGATAAATGGGATTAGAGGTGAAATGGAATTGAATATGAAGAATTTTTTTTTCCCAGCAGCACAACCAGCTAAACTGAAATAATCCCCAGGGAAGGAACAGAAATGCAGCTGTTTGGTGTCTGATGTTGGAAACACAGAGTGGAGAACAATTTTACATCTGCCCAGAGGTGTGGGGGGCATCCTAAACCAACCTCACTGAATCCCTGACCTTCCCAACTGCCTGGGTTATTTGCAAGGAATATGATCAGATCCCTAATTCCTGCACTGTGATACCTCCATTTGTACATGGTAGATCACAGCAGGTGTGCAGAATTAATGAGACACCATCATTAAATTTAAATTAATTTCTCTTTTTCAGATATAGAAAATTCCCACACAGCAAGTGGGGTTAAAAAAACAAGAATATGTTTGTTAATGTTCCTCAAGAAATGCTTCTCCATAGAGGCCAGAGTCATAATTAAAGCTACTTAATCCAATCCCTCGAGATCTTTCCATACATGTTTCATGTCCCAGAGCAATTAGAAATATAAAGTTATTTAAAGCAAATCTGTCAGGAGGAAAACTGGACTGGTTTTCCTGCTCAGATCCCAGCGGGACAGGATGAGTCTGACTCCAACTGTGTCAGCTCACGGCACGAAGGAGAACAGGGATGGGAAGGAGAGGTTTGTGACACAGAGGTGGGCGAGCTGGAGGAGGAATCTCCCACTCTGCTGAGCTGTCCAGAGCCTAAGGAACAGCAGAATTAAGCCTGGTCTTTATTAAATCCTGGCTTTTAATAGGATCAGCCTGTATCCTCAATTCCTGAAATCTGAGTTCAGCCTGCTTCAGGTTGCTTTGTGTTGTTGTGCTCAGCCAAAACCCTGAGCCAAAGCCTTGCACTGCTTCCCCTGCCCCTGCTGACAACTGAGATGAGATTTCTTAGTGGCTCTAACATGCAACCCTCTCCAATTCCCTCGTTTGGGGCTGACTTCCTTAGTGACCTCCCAGAGCAGCGTTTTTCTGAGTCAATAATTACATTTCCATTTTAACAGCAGGATTGTGAGCCCTGACATTGGGCTGTGTGGAAATGATGCTTCAAGAATCCTGGGATATCTCTCCACCTCAACCTGCATGTCCAGGGAGAAGCGAAATGCAGCTCCTCTTCATGAACCAGGCACCACCTCTGTAGAAGCCCAGGGAGATGAAATTTAACTTGGTCATGACCCACAAGATGGTTCTTATTAATACATTCTTCTCTTCTCTCTTCCCTCTCATCCTTCTGCCTCTCCAGACAGAGCAAAGTGTCCCCAGGACAGGAGCAACCCAGAGGTGCAGGGAAGTGAATTGGCTTGGCCACACTTCTCCTGAGCTAAAGCAGAGCAGGAGCAGGCTCAAATTCAGATGAGATTAAGAAAATCCAGAGGCAGCAGAGACAAAAACTATGGAGTAACAAACAATATGAATTTTACCTCCCAGCCACCAGCAGCCTCGGAGTTTTCCTGCCCAAATCAAAACTCCCACAATCTTCAAGCGAGGCCAAGGATAAAACGTCAGTCCCAGCAAATGACATTACTTCTGTTGTTATTAAATCTTAGGAAGTTTGAGATGTCTGAAGGCCCAATCCACATAGGTGTTTG